ACACGCGCGCATCGCGCTGCTTCCGGCCGGCTCGAGGTACATGTACGTGCTACTTGATCGTAAGGGCTGGGTGACTGTCAATTAAGTCAGAGTTTTGTGTGCGGTAGGTAGCTCTTGTGTGCCGCGCGGCCATGCACGCTAGCTACTGACTGCTTCGCTTCTGCATCGAGATGCAAGCTCTCAAGACTCACCGAGTGCTGTGCGGCGTTATAGCTACTGCCGACTCTGATGCAGCATATGCAGGCAGACGAATAAGAGCCCAATGTGAACCCAATGTGAACCATGCGGGCGTAGATCACCATCCTCCATATATGCTGCGCGCTCACGACCGCCTGTGATGGGCTCGTGCTGAACAGCGAGCAGCTCCAGCTCCAGCTCCAGCTCCAGCTCCAGCCCCTGCACCTGCCCCTGCACCTGCACCTGCACATATGCAGGAAGCCCCGCGCAGAGCAAACTGTATTCGGATACTTTGTACGTGTGCGTGCACTTGATAAGACATGTATGTAGACAGTCACGAGTGGTGTATCGGCATTCAAATTGTGCCCCCATATCAATCATCCCGTAAGTCCTCACCGCAGACGACTCCTCTCAAGACTACTGAGACGCTTCGCTCTCTGACTTGATCCCGAATGGACTCCGGCTTCACATTTCCGGTTCACGATGATTAAGCAACATATATGCTACCGCACACGCGGCTGGTGGTGCAAGATTGCTTGATGGCGCGACGCACCTGAATCGCAGATGATAATAACAAAGCGGTGAACGAGCCACCTACGCAGACTGATCTTGCTTTTGCAGCGACTGACCAGCCAAACGTCGAATTGTGCGTGATCGCTATATTACACGTACGTTCAACAGCTGCCAGGGCCGGCGCCGGCGCTCGCCCGTCCATCGTGACTCGTCAGGCTCTCCACGCCCGCAAGTTGCCTGCTATGGCTCTTCTCGGAGTTTCAAGTTTCCCCATTCAGATTCAAGTGATCGATTCCAAAGGCCGCTCGCGCCGTGGCCGCCCGGTGGGCCTTTCTACCTTGATTCATTTAGATTTTGATTCTCATGCTCATTCGTGATTGTTCACGGTTCAATCGTGGCAAGAAGCTTTGCTGCGACAATCAGGACCAAGAATCGTGAACTATCTGAATCCTGAATGAAGAATTTGAACCTTAATTCCATACTTACGCGAAACCTTGCGTGCAGCGAGCGCCAGAAAGGGTCCATATACAGCAGCATCAATACTCGGGACGATTGCTAGCACACTCGTGACTCTCACTGTCAGAGCTAGCATGAGCGAGTAGCCGGCAAGCTGCCACACAATTCTGGAATCAAGTATGAGCTGCGACTCGCTTGCCGAGCCGCCGCTGGACCCTCCACAACAGTCGCGTAGTCAAAAACAGGGCTGCTAGCCAGTCAAGAGTCCTTCCCTCAAGAACCAAAGGCTGGTGGCAAGTGCGAGTCCTGAGCGTCATCATCGAGGGCCGCTGCGCTATGGATTTGCTTCGGGTGCGTGGTGTCGGACGTGTACCGTACCATAGAGATGCGAGCCTCCTCTACTCTTGACTGTGACCGTACATACTTATTTTGATTCAGTGATTCTTGATTCTTCTTTGATTTATAGACGGTAGACGGTCGCGTGTGCACGCGTAATCCACGATTCGCGCAGGTATGAGTAAGCTGAGACGCGCGGACGACATGGTGCGCCGCATCTTATCGGCCGAGAGAGTCAAGGCGCTGACGGAAGCGCGAGAAGGCCATCAGGAAGCATGGAAGCGAACGAATGCCTCCACTAGTTGTAGTCTTCTCCCCTCCACAGACCATTCACGCTTGTAAACCTCGGTCATCACCACCTTTGACCCCTCTCGACAAGACGAGTTCGTCCGTAGTTGTCGCCAACGATCATCCGCGCTTCAGCGACCCGACCAAAATCCGCATAGGCGAGAAACATCAAGGCGCATCTTAAGCGCG